CTTGAATTCCTCAATTTTGAAAGGTAAGTAAAAAGTACTTATTGTTAAGTTGTATTTAATTTTATAGTTGTTAGATTGTTAGACTAAATTCAATTTTATTGAAGGGGTTAAGTATAATAAACTATGAAATTGAGTAAGATGAAAGAAAAACTAGTTTTAGTGATTAAAGAGACTTTAGAAATCGCTTAAACGTGAAATGATTAAGTTTGGGTATTGCCTATTTGATTATTGAAATTACTTAAAATAATTAATTGTTGATTTAAAAATTATATCGTATTTCAGGCGGCGATATGGACATCGAGACAGCTTACCAACTGAGTTGATTTTTGCGAACATAGTTTTGTGAGCGGAAAAATATAAATATTTTTAAAGTATTTATAAACTAAGTATATTGTTAAAGTATGTGCAATTATATGCAAATATGGAAATATCTTTTATTATGATACATGTGAAATTTTAAAGATTGTATACGGTACATTATGAATTGGAATATGATATGTGATTTTGAGATTGACCAAAAAAGTATCCGTGATTATATATTTCTTCTAGTTCACTGAGGGGCTTTGGCCGTGTTATAGAATTGATTACTAGAGGTATCTGAGATCGACTTTCGTTTACGGAGGGGCCAAAGGTCCGTGACGAAAGTTCTTAGTCCGAGGGGCGGATTACAAATTTTAGTCGGAGGGTACATTTTTTGTGGATTTTTCAGTACATTTGATGTGATAAGATTATAGCATGATTACCAGTTTATGTTTATATCATCACTTGAGATGATATTTTACCACGTTATATGAATGTCTCACGTTTTGGCTATAATTATATGATGTTATCTTGCGAGTTTTCAATGATATGAACTCGATTTTCGATAAAAATGTAAAAATGAAAAAGTATAATTATTTTCGAACTTCTCCACTCACTGAGCTATCAACTCATATATTTTTCCGTAATTGTCCTACAGGTGAAAATTGAATTTTTTTTTAGCTAGAAGAGCCTAATGATTTCGCAATGAGAGCCACACAACATGTTGAGTGTTATAACTCATTTTGATAAAGCACAAAGTAAATAATTTGGGCCCATCGCATTATGTTTTACATAAGCATTTATTTTGTGCATTTTTTGAAATAACTCATAGTCAGCCTTGGTAATAGATTTGACATCTAGTCAGCATCTATCATTGGCGCACGTCACGTTTCGGGTCCACTAGGGTGATTTGGGACGGGTAGTATCATAGGATGATCAAAATAGGTAATCAAATGGGTTCGATCTCTCTCAAAAGAAACTATAAGAACATTTTTATTTTCATGATTGTATATCACCTTTGATCTATTCAATAGAAAGTATTTTCGTTCGCTCTTTTTAAGTCATTCGATTGGTATTAACCCACTTGATGACCTCTTTCGGTCGTCCTACGTATGCTAAAGGCATGATGGGTGGTTGTGGATAGTCGAATCGTTATTTTTTGCTAGAATGATATAATTATCGTTTTATATGAAAAGAAATGACATGTACGTCGTTATACTTTTGATTTGAATTGGAACGATTTCAAACTCGTCGAATTTGTGCTAAAACGATATGAACGTCATTACTTTATTTATGATTTTGATACATAACGATATCATTATCGTTTTAATACAAGTTTGATGACGTTGATAACATTTTAGCTTAAATCATAACTAAAACTAAATACATATCGTTTCAGTTAAAATAAAACGACACTTATATCATTTCTGCTAAAAATAATGATTCGACCATCCACGACCACCAGACGTATATGACATATATAGGATGATCAAAATAAGTAATCAAATGGGTTTGAACTCCCTCAAAAGAAACTATGAGAACATTTTTTGTTTTCATGATTGTATACCACCTTTGAACTATTCAACAGAAAGTATTTTCGTTCGCTCTTTTTAAGTCATTCGATTTGTATCAAACTATTTGATGATCTCTTTCGATCGTCCTACGTATGCTGAAGATATGACGGGTGGTTGTGAACGGTTGAATCGTTATTTTTAGCTAGAACGATATAATTATCGTTTTATATGAAAATAAATGATATGTACGTCGTTATACTTTTGATTTGAATTGAAACGATTTCAAACTCGTCAAATTTGTATTAAAACGATATGAACGTCGTTACTTTATTTGTGATTTTGATACATAACGATATCATTATCGTTTCAATACAAATTTGATGACGTTGATATCGTTTTAGCTAAAATCATAACTAAAACTAAATACATATCGTTTCATATAAAATAAAACATTACTTATACCGTTTCTGCTAAAATTAATGATTCAACCGTCCACGACCACCAGATATGCACGTGACATATGTAGGATGATCAAAATAGGTAATCAAATGGGTTCGATCTCCCTCAAAAGAAATTATGAGAACATTTTTGTTTTCATGATTGTATACCACCTTTGAACTATTCCAACAGAAAGTATTTTCGTTCGCTCTTTTTAAATCATTCGATTGGTATCAACCTACTTGATGACCTCTTCCGATCGTCCTACATATGCTGAAGGCATGACGGGTGATTGTGGACAATCGAATCGTTATTTTTAGCTAGAACGATATAATTATTGTTTTATATAAAAAGAAACGATATGTACGTCGTTATATTTTTAATTTGGATTGGAACGATTTCAAACTCATCAAATTTGTGCTAAAACGTTATGAACATCATTACTTTATTTGTGATTTTGATACATAACGATATCATTATCGTTTCAATACAAGTTTGACAACGTTGATATCGTTTTAGCTTAAATCATAACTAAAACTACATAATATCGTTTCAGATAAAATAAAACAGCAATTATATCGTTTATGCTAAAAATAACGATTCGACCGTCCACGACCATCACATATGCATCTGACATATATAGCATGATCAAAATAGATAATCAAATGGGTTCGATCTCTCTCAAAAGAAACTATGAGAATATTTTTGTTCTTACGATTGCATACCACATTCGAACGCTTCCGATAAAAAGTATTTTCGTTCGCTCTTTTTAAGTCATTCGAGTTGTATCAATCCACTTAATGACCTTTTTCGATCGTTCAACGTATGTTGAAAGCATAACAAGTGGTTGTGAACGATCGAATCTTTATATTTAGCTAGAACGATATAAATATCGTTTTATATGAAAATAAACGATATATATATCGTTATCATTGTGATTTGAATTGGAATGATTTCAAACTCATTAAATTTGTACTATAACGATTTGGATGTCATTGTCTTATTTTGTGGGTTTGATACATAATGATACTATTATCATTTCAGTACAATTTTAATAACATTGATATCGCTTTAATTTAAATCTTAACTAAAATGATAATTATAAAAATGACGATTTGATTGTCCATGGTTACCTGACATATATTTGCCGTACATAGGATGATAAAATAAGTCACTAAGTGAGTTCGATCTCATTCAGCAGAAAGAAAGATAGTATCTCCATTTGCTCTTTCTAAGCTATTTGAGTGCTACCAATTCACTTGATGTTTTCTTTCGATCATTATATGTCGTTCTAATTATTATTTAAATTGTAATGATTTCAAACTTATTAAATTTGAAAAGAAACGATGCTATGTTGTTCTAGTTATTATTTTGTGCTGAGGGGAAAATTTTAAAATCGTAATTAGAATAAGAGTATTTTATATTAGAATGACATCAACTACTTTATGTGTCACCGGAACGAATTGTATATCGTTACATGAATCTGCACAATGTTCACATTTTGAACATGTACAATATGTAAACTTGAAAATTATAAAAAGTCACGAAAATATGTAAATTTTAATTACATTTAATATCGTAGTTATAACGTTCTAGTGTAACCACTCCTAAAACGATATATATGACATTGTAGGTACGATTGAATAGAAACGATATCATTGTCATTGAAAATTGAATTGAAACGGCATAAACGTTGTTTACTTATTCCAGAGCGTGCGCCTAAACCTGTTAAACAGTGAAGCGATGCGTGTTTGATATTGAAACGACATATACATCTTTTTTGTATTTCAAGAACGAGTTCAATGTCGTTATACAAATTAGTCAAGCAGAGTGTATTTGATGCTGAAACGATATCGAAATCATTTTGTATTTTAGGAACGATTTCAATGTCGTTATGCAAATCAGTAAAACAGTGTCAGCAGCTCATTTCCATTCCATATTTTTATTAGGTTGATAAGTTATATTTTACGATTTCTTCAAATGCAGTATCTTGGTGCTTGCTTATCCTCTTTTTCTCGAGTCGAATAGTTCTTATTAATTACAAGCTTTAAAATGAATCCAATATCGATATATTACATTGCTTTTTATTAAAATCTAATTATTGGATTCTAAATAAGATAGAAATTTAAAAAATAATTTTTTGTCTATCTTTTTTTCAAAATATAACGATAAAATTTATTTTAAAAGATTTCGTGTGTTATAATAAGTGTCTAATGAATAAATGACTCAGTAAATATTTTTCAACTAGTTAAGTTGTGGACAATGTTAAAACTTTGGGTGCACCGGAAATTAATTACAAAGAAGAGATGATCTTAAATTTAAAAAGAGGAGTTCGAATTCTAACGAGAAGATGATTTTGAAAGGGAAGATTTTTTAAATTTAAAGGAAGAGAATACTGTGTGTGGTAAAACATAAAGCATAGTTATTAGAGCCAACCCGATGATCGACTCAAAAAAGCCACCGGGTCAATGATTCAACTGGTGGGTTATTGTTAAATTTTAATTTTAATTAAATTTTATTTTTGAAGTGAAAATGAAACAATTTTTTGAAATGTAATATATATATTTTGCTGACAAAAAACAAAAGATCATTACTTGCCATAATGATTTTGAAATTAGAAAAAAACTCTAATCTCTTCTTCATTTTTATTTTACAAGTTGAAGGTAAAGTAATCTTTTGACACTTTTAAATAATTAAAATTTCTTTTATTTTTATAATTTTGGTCAAAGCCATTTGGACAAAATGTACACGCCTTCCCAACTCATTTGCCAAAAGAAAAACGAGAAAAACTCGCACTAGAGCTCGCAGAGTGCAGTGGAAGAACCCTAGACATAGGTTCGAGAGTTTATTAACAAAGCAGCAATGAGATTTGGCTTCGACGTATCGGATTCGGAAGAAAAATCTCAAGGCGGCCCTCAATCTGTAACGCCGCCATCATCAATTCCATCTTCAAAAGCTGAAATCCAATGGGTTCCACTCCAGAATCATCCGCTTTTCTCTTCCACGGCGGAAAATGTCAGAGACTCCAGTATGCCAAGGAATCTCATGACCTGGGACGGTGCCTCTCGCCTTTACTTTTGGGATTCTAACAAAATGTGCCTCCATAGAATATCCATTCGGTTGGGCGAACCCGACCCTGGTTCAATTCTCGCCGCATCCCCCTCCAAGGTCTTTTTTGTTTTTGTTTTCTGTCTTTATGTGTTTCATAGTTGGTTTCTCTTTTAACTTTAAAATGTGTTTATGTGTATGATGCAACACTACCTTGTGTTTTGAGTCAAGTTCTCAGGGTTCTAAAGGTTTATGAATTTGGGATTTGTGCTAGAGAACATGAATAATTTAAACAAGATATTTATTGAAAGCAGATGTCAGTGTGGTGCAAGAGTGGCTTGTTTATAGCACAAAGCACTTACTTTTTTATGATGTTAAATTAGTATGCTATGCTAATATTCCATTTTTTCAATAGGTATTGCAAGCAGATGCTCCTCTCAGTTTTCATGTTGATAAGATTTTCGTGAACAGAAATGGGTCAGCATTGCTTCTAGCTGGTTCGGAGGGGTTTTGTGTCATGTACCTGTATGGACGTTCTTCAATGGAAGAAAATATTATAATTTGTCGGTATGCTAACATACGCCTGATTCTGAAGATACTTTTTCCATTTTCTTTTGGCGCTGTTTTGAAGAAATCATTAGTTCAGATATCTGAAATTTATGATTATGAAATTGGTTCGACAGAGGTAAAAACGAAAATGAAATAGGCATAATGCATATCAAAATGCCAGACACCTCGTTGGGTTGTGTGGTTAAGATTACTGCCATATATGAAATGAAAAGTTAGCAAATTCTAGAAAGTGAGCTATTCCAGTCATGTTGTTTTCTCCTTCTAAGGCAGGATAACCTCGCATGATGTTTAGAACTTTTGGTTTGCATGACATCGAGAAAGAAATTGCACTTCTGCCTTCTCTGGCTCTTGTTTGAATTTGGGTTAAATATGACGTGGAGTTCTATTTTGACACTGCTAAAGTACTTTATAAATGGAATGAAATGTAGAAGTTTCTAGCAATCAATAGCACAGTCTTAATGAAGACATAATTGAGTGCTGAAAGCTGGAATCAAGAAAGAAAAAGAACTTTAGTTATTGCATGAATTATTGGAACGATGCCTTGTTTAAGCCTCTGGAATAGACACTTCCATAATTATAATTGTATATCTTGATGTTTTATTTAGGCATGAAACCTTTTGCTTTGCATATGCATGTCATATATGGAAATTCACGTGGTTAAAATATTGACTCCTTCAAGTACTTGAATTTCCACTTATAAAAATATCACAAAAGGGGTGCCTTGTGTTGTTGAGATTAGAAGGTAGGATTGGCAGTCTTGTCATTTGTTTAACAACAATGATCAAAGATAGAGGTGCTAATCTTCTACTTTTTAACAGGACAGTTTCAATTGGCTCGGAGATATACTTCAACAAGAATAATTACATCCGCACATTACAGATTTCTTGGCACCCTTGCAGTGACACTCATATTGGAATCCTTTCCTCTGATTCAGTTTTCAGGTGCCACGGCCATCTTTTTTATGTATCCTGGTTGCAGTAATCCAAAATACATGTTGACTAGACTTGTGCATATTAGCTGTTTCATTTGCTTAATGTTGGATATGTCTCATCCTTGGCCTTGAGATAGTTGGACTAGGCATTTGTTGCGATATTATTTCATGTCATGCTGATTTTATTCACAAATATTATGTGCATTATTCTCATCATTGTGCTGTTGATGTCTGCCCAGAATTTTTGATTTGTCGTCAGCTCTCGAACAACCAGAGCAGGAATATTATTTGCAACCTGTAGAACCTGGTAGTTCATGTAAAGCTGCATCAATCTGCCCTGTGGATTTCTCTTTCGGGGGTGATCATTTGTGGGACAGATTCAGTGTAAGTACCTTCCTTTTTTCTTTTTTCCTGATTCGTGGTAAGTTTGTACAAGTTCAATTTATTTTGAATAATAATTTTTATGGTCCTTTAGAAGCACTTAGCCCCCGTTTGGCCCCCATTATTGTCAAATTTTAATGGTTGGAATAGTATTTTTTTGAATAATGTGTGGTTGAAAAAGAATGAAAAGTTTTTGATTTGCGTGTAATATTATTTTATGGAAGACTGTGTAGTTAAAAATAATAGAGAGAAAAAGAATGAGAATGGGGCCAAACGAGGGCTTACACATCTCAATCATGTAGAATTAAGAGACGAGTGTCCTTTGTACTGATATGTTTATCAATTCTTGCCATATTTGAGCACATTTTGTTCCTTGTTATTTAGGTCGGTCATCATTTGGTGCATGTAGCATTCATAGGAAACTTGAATGTTTTCTAAATCTGATGTACATGATTCTTGTTACCTTAATCTTCTTATTGAACCGTGTTTTGGTCACTCCTTGATCTTGGTGTTTATCTGCTTGATCTTAATATGAATTGGTTAGGCCTATCAATTCGATTTTGTTGCAAGTAGTTTCTTTCTTTTTTTAATATGAATTGGTTAGACCTATCAATTCAATTTTGTTGCAAGAAGTTACTTTTTTTTTTTTTTTTGGGGGGGGGGGGGGGGGGGGATATGGGATGTACTCACCCCCCTCTCTCCCTATACTGTTGCACATACGCACCTATATAGGCATACAGTTACATCAAAGTCATGCTATATAGGATCATTACATTATGTTAGTGATGAATTGGGTTATTATTTGTTGTATCACAATAAATACATGCATGTTTTGGATGCCACATTTATGTGAATTTTCTTTGTATTACTTGTGCTATGTATTATACTTTATTTACAGTTCTTCTTATGTTGTCTTTCATAGTAAGAGAAATATTTACCTCAAGTTCGATAACTTGTTGAGTTTTTTACAAGTAAATAGTGGTAGTGTCTGTGCAACATTCTGCAGAAATGCATTTCCCTCCTGGTTGGTATCATGCTTCTTAGCCCTTGATTGCTGAAGCAGCACACTAGCTTTTGACATGGATGGAAGTTTACTGATTTTTCTTCTCATTATGCAGGTTTTTATCTTATTTAGTGATGGATCCTTATACATCCTCTGCCCCATTGTTCCCTTTGGAAGGTATTTTACCATTCATGCTCAATTGAAGTCCTTTTTGATTCTTCGGGAGTTCCCAATTTTTTTCTCAATTCCCATATAACTTGCCGAAGATTTTCTCTTAAATGTGCAAAGCTTTGGATGCAGATGGCTAGAATTATCAAACCTTCATAGCCATCTGGTCGATCAGTCCTTTTTGTAGGTTAGGAGTGTCATGGGAGTAGTAAGATTGTCCATCATAGTAAGTATTTTATAATATTTTAGAGTGATGCCATGTTACTTGCCGAAGTATCTAGTACATGCAGAACTTTCGATGCAGATGGCTAGAATCAGTATACCTTCATAGCCATCCTGTTGATCAGTCTTTTTGTAAGTTAGGAGTGTCTTAGGAGTAGTAACTAGTAAGATTGTCCATTGTAATAAAAAAAATCAGATGCTTTTTCGTTGTACTGATATTAATTATGCGCAACGTTATTCTGTTGTTTTGTCTTTCTCGTTATTTTGGGTATTGCTATGCTGTGTACACTTCTGGTACAATGTTTTTGGCTTGCTACAATTACTTGATTCTATAATGTACATATATCAGTTACATGGTAGTTTTTCTGATGCCTTAAGTTTGAATAATTGAACTCTTGGCTGTCAACAGCGTACACAAATGGGAATCAATTCTGGAAATATACAATGATGCCCATACATTTGGGATGAAATCTTCCAACTCGAAAGCAGTTAGCAATTCTAATCTGGCGATCTCTTGGTTGGAAGCCACATTTCCTGGATTAGCTCATCAAGCAGGAGAAGGTGGAAACTTATTTGCAATTAAAGCTCAGCCTTACGTTCTATTTGATGCATCTATTTCATTGCAGGTATTTTTTAATATTAGTATTTGAACTTTTTTTGTTGAAATTATTAATTATGTTTGTTCCTAATTGGGCATAGCAAGTACCCCTAAAGATCTGATTTTGTGCTTTCATTGATATTTTGACTTAATTCACTAAAATATTTTAGGCATTTTATGATTTTCTTTTCTTTTCTTGTTGCCTTGCCTTTGCTTATAATATTAATTTTATGCAGATTTTGATTTGGTGTTTCTGCCTGCATTCATTTCCAAAAGTTTATTTTTCTACTAATATATTTCAATTACAATATATTTCCTCTAAGTAGACTCTCCTTAGTTGTTTTCTATTATCACAATGACTGCAAATGAGATTATTCAGGCTCCTAATATGATTACATTTTTCTTGATCCTTGTAGTTTCTTTTACAAGGTAGAAGCGGAGCTTTGTGATCTATGTTTGAAAATTATCAGCACCTAATTTTATAGAATTCTTCCAAGTTCTTAGGATATAGAATAGTTAGTGAACAACATAGAAGAAATGACCTGTTATCTGCCACTGAAATACTATGTCTTGCTTTTCTTTCCCTTTTCTATTTAAAATAGAATGTTGGAAGATTGGCTTTCACTGATCACTGGAATCCTACACGAGCTGGTTTTTGCAATTTTTTTTTTTTTAAGGAGATTGAATCTGGTTTCCTTCTTTGCCTAGGATATATTATAGCAAGTCTTGATAGGCACTCATAGGGAAGATAACTATAGGTAGAAGATTATGGTAGATAGGTTTAAACATTCGTATTTTGGTTATTAGTGGCCATGTAAATAGGGTATTTCACTTTTTGTAATTTAAGAGACAGATAGTTATGCAAATTCTCCTCAACTATCTTATACTACTCCAAACATTTCAGTCCCCAAGGTGGCAGATTCACGAAAACTGCTAATCACTCTTTGTATTTTTGTTTCACATATTTCTACTATAGTTTCCAATAATTAAAAAGCTGATTTTATTAAGCACTTTATGCTACAACTTAGAAATGATTTTTATGCGAGTTGATGCTTAGTGTGTCCTCCACATTTATTCGTGCCTGGATTCTTTTGCTTTTCATATAAAATACTTGGAGATATTTAATAAAGTTTAGGCTTTGAATTTGTTAGGTTCTTGTTTCACTCTTATCCCTTCTCCTGGTGTATCTTTCCTACAGCTACTGTTTTAAATTTTTTATTTGGATGCTTATGCAACATCTCTAAATATTAATGGGTATTATTTCCAGGGACCTCTTCGTGATGTATATCATAGTCTTGGAGAAGATTCTGAAGTTCAGAGAGGAGTTTGTGAAGGGCGGGCAGTCAGTTTTTTGTACAATTTAGTTAGCAAGGATTCAATTCTTGTGACTGCTTGGAGTGGAGGTCAATTGCGGATAGATGCTTTAGCTGATGAAATACAGCCGGTTTGGAAAGTCGGTAGTGCACCTCGTGTTTGTGTCAATTCGTATGGTCATATACTTGGTGTTGCCATGATTTGTGAATCAGTTCCTACTGGTTTCTCCGTTTTGAAGTTTGATCAGCCCCAGAATCATAAGGCCTGGTTGGGGCATCCACCTCCGCTGTTGAGGCTGGCCATTGTGGATTTAGCCTTGCCAATGAAAAATGATCTTCTCATTTCAATGATTGCTGATCCCATCATTGGAGAAAGAATATATTGCCTTCATAATGAAGGAATAGATTCAATAGTTTTGCATTTTCTTCCTTTTACAAGCCAGGCAAGCGGCAAAGAAGAGGCAATGAAAACTCCTGCTGTGCACGCTGTTCTTAGTACATGCTCAGGAAAATCCTCGAGAACATCTTCTCTTCATGGTTTCTTGGCTTTATCCGATTCATTTGGGAGTTCATGGATCGTGGGAATTGCTGCTTCTTGGGAATGTATTGTGCTACAGATGGAGACTTGGAATCTGTTGCTTACTCATACTACAGAAAAGGAGATGTCACCTGTCCTCTTTGAAGAGCTAAAAGAGATAGACACACCCACTATTATCAGTAAAGAACTCCTAGCTGGTCCTAAGGCAGTTATATTACCACATTCTGAACCTAATTTACGCTCTGTGACTGCTGATTCTATTGAAGGAAGGGCAACTCTTCATCAATATTTCAAGCTTTTCCATGAAAATTACATGGAATATGCTCACAAGGTAATAAGAGTGCCATATCATTCATGTATTCGTACTTGCAATTGTTATTATTTAGGCTAATAATGTATTGCAATTATTATAAGTTAAGCTAGTAACTGTCTTCATCTTGAGAAGACTTGTTTATATCACTTGTTTGTTTTTTCCACAGTTTCCCTTATTATAATTCTCATCTTTTCTAATTTTAGCTTTATTTTTTTTTCTCCTGGTTCGCCTTCCTTTATATTTTTTATGATAGCAGGGAACACTTTTTTCTACTGGTAGTAAAAGGGCACTGCTTTTGTTGTAGGTTAACGTGACTTCTTCCGGTGCATTTCTTTGAAACTTGTGCAGAAAAGTTATTCTTACACTGCCAAAGCTATTTTGGATGATATATTATAAAGTTCTGAATTTTATGATACTTGTGGTTCAAATTGTACTATAAAGACATTTGAGTTGACTGCCTCTCCTGTTCATGTTTTGTACTATTCTAGAACTTTCAGTTGATTGTTCGATTGACTGATTCTGTAGATATGTACAATGCAGGTGCTTGTGGATATTAATTGAAAAGCTTTTGTAACTATTTGGCTGCAGCATGTGAAGATGTGAAAAAGATGACAAAAATATATCCGGATTGTATTAGCCTGATACTATCGATTAAGATTGCTTTTTTTTTTTTTTTTTTGGTGAATTACATATCCTTCTTTTCTCTCGATTCTAGGTGTATTTCGAACTCGAGCATCATGCACCTCATTTGAAGAAAATCATTGGCAACCAGCATTCTCGGTTACGTGAATCGCAGCAAAAACTTTTGGAAGTTGAGACGAAACAGGAGAAGGTAGAGAGTCGCATTGAACGAGCAGTTCAGCTTCACAATTCTTTAGAAGAGCGCTTACATAAGTTGACAAGTCTATCAGGACTGCAGAAAAAGCGACTGTCCAAGGCAGAGCGAGACTTCAAGTTAGAACTTGGTATTTTATTTCTCTGACTTTCTAAATTCTCTCTTTAATTCTAGATCAGTAATGCTCATAAGAATTTTATTATCTAATTTGTCCATGTTATACGAATTCTACTTAATTATGCCAATCATTTGTAATGGTAAAAAGAAAATGCTGTTGAGACCAAGCCGGGTTGTTGATATCTCACTTTGCTTGCAAGTGATTTTAAGTGATATATCACCTTGCTTGCAAGTGATTGTAAGTTCGAGTCCATGGGGAAGAGGTTTAGGACTATTCTGTATCATATAGCAAATAATTGGATTGAAAAATAAGATGAAGGAAGAAAGGAAAAAGAAAATAAATTCAGGGCTTGTCCTTTATTATTGACCTGATCCTTGTACAAATTTCTTGTCTTACATCCTGGACACGTTTTTGAACATAGAGGAGGGCAAGAAAGAGCGATAAACTGAAGGGGTTCTGTGAGATTCACACGTGAGGGAAAATTGAACCCACTTGGAATATTAAGACTGCACAAGTGAGCTTATACATGGACGAAGTGACACCATAATTGTTGGAGCATTTGGGTCAAGATTGGATTCTGAACACGTGTATTCACTCTTCTTTGTGACCATCTCCCTGTTGGATCCACAATTAGTGGAATTTTAATGAAATGTATGTGCATCCTTGGCACTATTTGGAAATAAGTAATTCAAGGTGTGGTTGCTATTGGGTAGAATGACATTTTCAAGCCTTTGGAATTGTGGAAACATTGATTAATTGCTATGGAGAAATGGATGCGTGATCAGAACATGCAAATAGCTTGAAGAGGAAGGGTAATTGATACTGTTGATAATAATTTATAACATCGGTGCGGGACAGGATTGTTGGGAGTAAGCGAAGGATGTGTGAAGGGAGAGATACTTGGGGTTCATATGTGAGGAAAAACCATCCTACATAAAGAATCAAGACACGTGGAGTGAATCATGACTCATGAAGGAACCAAGAACCTACAGCTTAAGCTTTTGGGTCAAGAATCAGATCTAAACGTGTATATTGGCTGCTGTTCTGGTGGACTGCTTGGGATTACGGCATTCCAGTTTCCTATTTGGAAAATTTGCCCATTGAGGCTGAACCTAGAACTGTGCGATAAAAGCAAGAAAAAACGTATTAAAACGTTAACTTTTTATTGGGAAAAATTGGTATACATGATCTCTCAGTCTCGCGCTGCGTGGAAGGATCCAAATCCCCCAATCATCTGAATTTTTGTTGTGTAATTTTATCTGAATCATGAAAGTTGACAGTCCAATGGATGTTCTATTTTGGTACTCGTTTTGTCAAAAGAAGAATAGCCCCAGACCCCTCTAATCATTACGCTGGAACTCATATATACATCTGAGAATAATCTTCCTTTCTCAACTTTTTGATATTTTATTTAAATAATTTAATCAAAATGCAGATAGATTTACTGGAGTGGAGTTGGATGCCTTGCATTCTTCCATTGAAGCTCTGAATGCACGGTTGGGAAGACACATACATTCTCCACAGAACAATTTCTCTAATCAACAGAGACAAAAATCAAGAAGCAAGGCAAGTCGAGTTCAAGAAGAAGTATCTCAACTTAAATCCTCTCTTGCCAAACTGTCACTTCTGAACAGTGAGAACACACAAAAGGTTAAACTTGTTGAATCAGCACTAAAAAACCGTGATATCAGTGACCGATGATATCACATCAGAGTTTTGCTGCTGCAATGAAATATCAAGAATGTTAATCCAATTTATGTGCATTTAGTATGCGTAGTAGTTGATCTGGTTTCCAGTTACGAGTCTCTCTGGAAAGTAATCACTTCCTCAGGCAGTTAAGGTGGACTGTATAGTAATGTACATTACGAAAGAAAAAGGAAGCTAAAATATTGTCCATCATATTGTACTAAACGTGCTAGGGATGTTTATGGGTAACTTTGATTGCTCGAGCTGTGTCATGTACTTCAGATGGAGTTTCTCTGCTTCAGAATTCCCTTTTAGTATTGCAAGGGGAATTTAATTTATGATTAATTTCTGCTTGTTAGTTTGTTGCCTCGTTTATGGTAGTTTTTGAATAATTTCTTAGTAGTTGTTTTGTTTAGATTTTTCAAATGATGATGCGACTTTTCAAAAGCTGTGTTTCTTGTACGGTAAATTTGACTTTCAAAATCCCAGTTAAAAGTCAACTATTGAATTAAAGCCCAGTTTGCAATTCAGGGCCGCGACAACAGACCCCCACCAATAGGGCGCCCTCTACATAAAATTGATGTTTTTTTTGTTATAATTAGTCTACGTCTCTTGCATTACACGAATTTTGTATTTATTTTAATTTTATTAGCGTAAAATTTATAGATTGTACAAAAAGTATTTGGAAATAAGAAATGTTTGTTTGATTCTCATCTTTTGGTCGACTGTATATTTTATTTCACAATAATTTATTTTTATTCTTATAAATAAGTATAATGAATGTTGTGACTGTATGTGTCAACGATAATTTATTTTTAATTATTTATTGTATTTTTTTGTTTAATGTAGATGAAATTTTTTTTTTTATCTGATATTGCAAATAAGTTGTAAATTGAATTTTGCAAAATGCTTTTCTGTAGCAACTTCGATTCGAGAGGCTATACTTGTAATTCAAAAATAACACATGCAGTTGTAAATTGAAAGAATATCCACATACACAAATATTTAAATAACAAACTCAGGTTCGCACGTAAAATAACTTGAAGTGGCACTTATTGGATGACCAACTTGTTGGTGTAAAAATTAAAACCCTAATAGCAGGCCTATTCTTCGGACGATACAACAATCACTCCAAGGTTGGTAGGACAAAAGAATTTGAAAAAAAAATTTAAATAAATTTTATTTGAAAGAGAAAAGAATTAAAAAGAAATTTAAATAAATTGATAAAAAAACCAATTATTTATAAATTAAAATTTTCAATTTTAATTAAATAATATTTATATATTCTTCATTTAATTTTCATAACTTTATTTTATTTTTTACTTCTAAATAATTTTAAACGAATTTTTTTACTTATATAAGTAATTTTTACATATATTAAAAATATTTTTTGTTAATGTTTATTTTTAAAATTTTTTTTTTTTTTTTGTAAAAGTGATTTTTGAAAAATTAAGTTTTATTTCGAAGAGAAAAGAATTAAAAAGAAAAAAATAATTGATTTTTTTTTTAAAGAAAAAAACGCATTTGTTGACACATACGTTTAATCTCCATTTAACTATTTTCGTTATTTATTTAGATCATTCGATGTCTCTACGATATAATTCTCAAAATGAGTTTCGAGAGAATGTAAAGTGCAATTGTCGATAAATTTTTAAAGTTAGCTTGTTATCGAAAATTTCAAAATAATAATAAAATAATTGATTTTTTAAAGAAAAACGCCTTATGCGTATTTTTTAACTCGTACGTTTAATGTCCGTCTAACTATTTTTTATATCTATTTAGATTATTCGATGTCTCTACAATATAGTTTTCAAAATGAGTTCCGAGAGAATGTAAAACATTTATCGATTCGACTATCGTACAATCGTCAATGAATTTTTAAAGTTAGCTTGTTATCGAAAATTTCGAAATATAGTTTGAAAATGCCTACTTTGACGTCCCATAACATTTGCTATGATTGACCGTTTCACGCACCGATAATGACGTTCAATACTATGCCGCGAGTACTTTAAAAAGATATTAAGAATGTAATATTTCGATTTCGTTTGATATCCCGTAATGTGCCTGAAAATAAACACAAAAATATAAGTAAAAATAATAATTTTGAAAATGCCTACTTTGACGTCCCATAACATTTGCTATGATTGACCGTTTCACGCACCGTTAATGACGTACAATACTATGCCGCGAGTACTTCAAAAAGATATTAAGAATGTAATATTTCGATTTCGTTTGATATCCCGTAATCCCGTAATGTGCCTGAAAATAAACACAAAAATATAAGTAAAAATAATAATTTTGAAAATGCCTACTTTGACGTCCCATAACATTTGCTATGATTGACCGTTTCACGCACCGTTAATGACGAGCAAACTTTTTACTATGTAAAGAAATATACTTAAAACTTTGAGTTAATATTTAATCTAAAGTAATATTTAGATAAATTTAATTCAAAAAATATTGAATATTACTAAAAATATTACTATAAAATTAAATATTGTTTGAAATTATTAGATATATCCAACTACGATGATATTTTTTTTATATCTATAATAATGTGAAAAAAAAAAATTCATGCACTCTATGCAAGAAGGAACACGTTGTTTTTGCTCCCCACTTGAAAAAAAATGAAATTTTAAATAATTGAAAAAAAAATTTATGCCATACCGCATAATTTTTTTGAGCAAAATGATGTATTGAGAAAAATGTTGCTAAAAATAATAAATAGTAATAAAAAATTGATTTTGTTAAGAAAAACGACTTATACGCATTTTTTAACATATACATTTAATGTCCGTTTAACTATTTTTAATATTTATTTACATCATTAGATGTCTCTACGATATAGTTCTCAAAATGAGTTTCGAGATAATGTAAAACATTTATGATTCGTACAATCGTCGATGAATTTTTAAAGTTAGCTTGTTATCGAAAATTTCGAAATGGTAATAAAATAATTGATTTTTTTAAGAAAAACGACTTATGCGTATTTTTTAACACATACGTTTAATGTCCGTTTAACTATTTTTTTTTTTAAATATTTGTGTTGTTTACATTACAATTTTTTTTTTAATTTAAAATTCTTTTCTCTTAATAATTCCAAATAGAAACTTAGTTTTGATTTGCATTATAAATAATTTTTCTTTTCAACTTAAAATGCTTTTTTAATTTCTTTCTCTTTAATTTTTTTACTCACAATTAACTTTTTACCTCTTAGAAATATTTTCTATTTTATATTATTAGTATTTTTATTTTTTAATAATTTCAGATAATATTTAATTTTATAGTAATAAAATATATAAAAAGAATTTTACTTTAAAATATTTTATTATACTGTAAGAAACTGCTGCAACACGTAATTTTCATACCTCCTACCACTCTATGCTCAACCACTCTTATATCGATATATATAGTAAGGATATAAGAAAAAATTAGTTTTATATAAAAAAATATTTTACAAAAAGTTACTTTTAAGTAAAAAGTTTGATGAAAAAAGAATTTTAATTTTTGTTGTTCACATTATAATTTTTTTTCAATTTATAATTATTTTCTCTTAATAATTCCAAACAGAAACTTAGATTTGAGAAAAAAAATTTCTGCGTAGTTTTGCGTTATAAATAATAGTTTTTTTCAATTTAGAATTCTTTTTTTCAAATTTTTTATTATTAATCAGTATTTTTAAATAGTTTGACATAAAATTTAATTTTCTAGTAATAATTCAATATATAAAATGATGAAAAAAAAACATATTCACTCCATGCATGGAGAAAAAAATTTTCGTTATACCACATAATTTTTTTGAGCAAAATGATGCATTGAGAAAATTGTTGTAAAAAAAAGAATAAATAGTAATAAAATAATTGATTTTTTTTTTAAGAAAAACGACGTATACGCATTTTTAACACATATGTTTAATCTTCGTTTAATTATTTTCGATATTTATTTAGATCATCTGATATCTCTACGATATAGTTCTCAAAATGAGTTTCGAGAGAATGTAAAACATTTATCAATTCGACTATCGTACAATCGTCGATGAATTTTTAATGTTAGCTTATTATCTAAAATTTCGAAATATAATTTGAAAATGCCTACTTTGACGTCCTATACATTTGCTACGATTGACCGTTTCACGCACCGTTAACGACGTGCAATACTATGCCGCGAGTACTTCAAAACGATATTAAGAATGTAATATTTCAATTTCGTTTGATATCCCGTAATGAGCCTGAAAATGAACAAAGAAATATAAGTAAAAAAATAAAAATAAAAAAGGCTCTGTGCACGGAGTCTTCCTAAATTATTATTATTATTTTTTCTTTCGTGTTCTCAAAATGAGTTTCGAGAGAATGTAAAACATTTATCAATTCGACTATCGTACAATCGTCGATGAATTTTTAATGTTAGCTTATTATCTAAAATTTCGAAATATAATTTGAAAATGCCTACTTTGACGTCCTATACATTTGCTACGATTGACCGTTTCACGCACCGTTAACGACGTGCAATACTATGCCGCGAGTACTTCAAAACGATATTAAGAATGTAATATTTCAATTTCGTTTGATATCCCGTAATGAGCCTGAAAATGAACAAAGAAATATAAGTAAAAAAATAAAAATAAAAAAGGCTCTGTGCACGGAGTCTTCCTAAATTATTATTATTATTTTTTCTTTCGTGCACGGAGAGATTTTTTTTTTTTTTTTGGGTATGTAGTTTATATTATAATTTTTTTTTTCAATTTAAAATTCTCTTTAATTCATTTCTCTTCAAATTTTTTACCGACAAGTAATATGTTGTAAAAAAATTTCTGTCGCATATTATCTCTATCTTTTTTTTATACAAAAGTGATTTTTTCTTATATCCCTACTATATATATCTATATCGGAGTGGGGGAGGAATGAACATTGTGTGTTGCAGTAAATTTGGAGGTAGTGTATAATAAAATAAAATATATATCAAGCAAACGGCGCCGTTTTTGGCCCCCAATTAAAAAAAAAACAAAACAAAAAAATTACAGTAAAGATGAATCAAGACTCTGTTGCTTTCTATAGTGCCCTCACATTCCCCTTTTTTATATAGTAGGGAAAAGTAGGCCCCTCAGTTTGTTAAGCACCCGTTTGTTTCCTATTAATTTGCAAAATGCATTTTTTCTATCACATCGATGTGAGGTTGATGCAATATTTTATTTTCCCATTCAAATTCAATCATCATTTTTGTCATTATTTGATATTCTCTTCGACCCATGTCAATAATTGGAACCAGCGACGTCACATTGAGGAGAAGATACAAATTTTTCAAATGGCACACATTCCAAAGCAAGTCAACAACAATATTCCCATAATTTGTAAAAGACAATCCATT